ATTAAAATTAAAGATTTATTATCATAATAAGGATTATATAATAATCAAGTCTTTTTATAATTTTAATTTAAATTAATTTTTGTTATAAGGTTATTGTGAATAATTTATTGATTTACATGTATTGATGATTAACACATGGATGTAATCTTAATAGAGAACTTCTAATGACTAATATTACCTTAATCTTGAGTTAAAAAAATTTATCTTAATCTATCAATAAAAAACTCTCTAGAAAAAATAAAATAATGTAAGTTCTTTGATATGAGATTATAATAATTAACAAAATATTTATTATATTTTAATTTTGGACACTTAAAATTGTAGGACACTAGTTGAATTAATGGGTCAAATATAATTAAAAATATTTATGAAATTTATTTATAAAATAAAAGTCGAGTTACTCAATGTTATGTTGTCACATCATTGATTGGATTATCCTATGCCACTTCAAGAAATTTATTTGTGTCAATTTTTAAACAATTTTCTATTATATCTCTCTTTTATTAATTATTCTACTCAATCCACCTTTCATTATCAATTTTAATCTAAATTAATTTATTCAATCATTACTCTTATGTTATCTAATTCTTATTTCACAATCATTCACTCTTATGTTATCCAATTCTTATTTCACATAGCAATCTAAAGTGATATTTTTTCTTCCTCCTTGTTCACTTTGAATTTTTTTTCTTTCTCAAATATGATTTGAGATTTGATAATTTATTTTGCAAGAGAATGAGAATCTTATGAAAACTGTCAATGCCATCATATTTTGAGACACATAGAAATCCACCTTTCATTATCAATTTTTACCTAAATTAACCTATTTAATCATTCACTCTTATATTGTCCAATTCTTATTTCACATTGCAATTTTCATAGGAAATCTAAAGTGATATTCTTTCTTCCTCCTTTCTCACTCTTAATTTTTTTCTCAAACATAATTTGCAAAAGAAGGAGAATCTTATGAGAATTGTCAGGGCCATCAAATTTTGCGATACATAGAAAATCTAAAGTGATATTCTTTCATTTTTTTTTGCTTTTAATTTTTTTTACTTATACATGATTTGAGATTTGATAATTTATTTTACAAAAGGGGAATCATATGAGAATAGTTGAGACCATAAAATTTTGGGATACATGAAGATGGATATGCTAAAGGACAATAAAATATTATTTATTTTCCATGCAACAAGCATCGAATAAGCTAGATTTGTAATCTTCATTTCCTTCTTAAATCAATTATACTTAAATGTAAAATAAATATACTTATTTAAACTTCTTTTTATTGTGTCTCAACAAATTCGCAGAGGCAAACAAATTTCAATGTTGACATGATATATATGTTTACTTCCTTTAGATTAAGTTTCTAAATTAATTTTTATCTTAACACACCACATGAAAAGAATGAATAAAATAAATATTTCTTTCAAATTAAATTATGTGTATTAATTCCTAATACAACAATAATATTTTTCTATATAGAGTATTTCCTCAATTCTTTTAATCTTAGTATCTAACATCTATGTTGCATAAGATTTTTTAAGTTAGATAATTTTTTTAAAATTATGATTAAATATATTCATTATGAGATTTCTTTCTTATTTTTAATGAGGAATTTTTGTCCTATTTTAAATAATAAATTTTATTTTATCTAGAAATGTTCATGTTTCAGGAATTGTAATCTAAAATAAATTTTATCACCAATAAATATACAATAATGGAGTAGTGGAGCAGGGATGGATATTCGAAACATATAAATAAAATCATTGTTGGAAGAAAATACTATCATATTTGATTTAATATCAATTAAAATAATTTTTTAATTATAAAATTAATTATTGATATTTGGCTGTTAATTAAATGTAATTTATAACCACATGTTACTGATCATCAATTATAACAACTAAATGTATTTTACAATTATCAGTTACTAATTATCTATAGATTTCAAAATTTTATTTTGGCAATTGTCTAATTAAATAAAATTCTAATATATGTTTTATTGATTTAATCAAGTCGTGTATTTTGACTAAAAATGAAAATAAATTATTTATATTTGAAATGAGATGCATTGAGAAATGAGGACATATAATTTGAAATAAGATAAATTTACATTTTAAATTTATAATTTTATAATATACCTAAAATTAAAAGACTTATATCCAGTAAAAAAAATACACAATCTATTAATAAGCACCATCTATAGTAACTTGCATGTAAGCACACTAGATTTTGCAAACAGTTCTCATTGGACTCTTGGAAACCATGTAAATGCATTAACATATTTTTTGGGTGAAACTTAAATTGATTCACTGGGTATGGCCAAAGGGCTGACCCATTCATGCGCTGTTCAGTTTTATTTGGCCTTTTGTGCTGCATTCTTGTTCCTTAACTTACTTGTCTTATTTTTGGATCACTTCATGCAGATGGTAAGGACCAAAGCCACCTCTCACACTTATGAAATCCCTACAAGGAAGAAAAGAAAGGTCAAGCATCATCCAATCCACCACCTAGTGACTCAGAGGAATAGCTAGTCAAGAAGAAGAAGGTGTGGTAGAGGAGCAGCCAGAGCATGAAGAAGAAGGTGAAGAAGAGGAAGATGGAGATGATAAAGGAGAGGATGATTGAAGTATCTTCTGCTTGTTTTATTTTAATTTATTCTGCAGGTCTTTACTTTCCAAATTTTACTTTGATTTGTGGTACTTTATTTTTAGTATTTGGTTTAATTTCTTTGGTTTCTTATCTGTTATTTGGTAAGTATTTTTGGTGGTTTCGTTAATTAGTTTATCTGGATTTTTTTTGTGGTTGAACTTGTGTTTGTTACATGGTTTTGAAGTAAGGTACTAATTTTTGTTGGGTCCACTGATTGTGATAACGAAATCCTTTTTGAAAACTAAATTGAAAATCTTTTTGGATGGAGCATTTTCATGGTTCAAGTTTACAATGAGCATTGTCTTCTAATTTGGAAGTTTACTTTGTTGCACAAATGGTTGTACATTTTTGACTTAAATTGTGTGCTTCAAGTATGTTCAAGTGAAATTGAAACAAGTCTAAAGTTGTTGAGATGTAGGGCACTTAACCAAACCATGTGAGTGAGTGGGCCAAACAGTAAATTCATTCATTGAGAGTCATCACTGATTCATGCAGTCAGTTTTGTTTTAGTCTCTTATGAGTTACAATTGGGTTATGCATGGAATTAACTAAGGAAATTTTTCATTATACTTAGCCCAGTAGCCATAAAGCCAACCCATGAACTACATCAACCCTTGATCAACCATTTTGAGCCTATACAGAACCCTTAAGCCTTGATTGGTAAGAGACATTTTCGTGAAACAAGTGGGTTTGTGCCAAGTTTGGGGTAAATGTACATAATGTTCATGTGGCTAGACTTGTACAGGCAAAGTATTATTCTCAGTGTCAAAAAACAAAAAACAAAAACAAAAACAAAAAAAACACAACAAAAAAAAAAGAAGAAGAAGTTTACATTTAGGGTTCCTTGTCACCATTCCTTTGATAAAATGTAAGATCCTGAGAGAAGGGAACCAATAAATATAGTCAAGAGGGATGAAATAGAAGGAGCAAGAGAATTCAAGCAAAAACAAGGATTTGATAGAAACCAATATGAGTGAAAATGTTCTCTTGCCAAACAGGCCTCTTAATTCCCAAAGAAAAACCAAGTTCTCTTATAGCCAGGCCACACTACAACCCTCTTAAAGTCCTTAGTGATCCATGTTTAGCTCTAACAATAGACTTATGGGAGACATGTAACAAAGCATACTTAGTGTGTTTTGGTGCATGAAAAGAGAGAACCACTCACCCTTCACAGCATATTAATGAGAGATACACAGTTGTGAGAAAATCCTTAGTGCTCTTGATTGAAAGCAATGGAAGAGGAGTGGATATTTCCCTTGAGTATGCTTGATGTTCATAATTTTTGTTATCATGTGGGCACCATCTGTAGTAACTTGCATGTAAGCACACTGGATTTTGCAAACAGCTCTCATTAGACTCTTGGAAACCATGTAAATGCATTAACATATTTTTTGGGTGAAACTTAAATTGATTCACTGGGTATATAAGCTAATATACTTTAAAAGTCCTTTAAAATCCTAATCCAATACACCCCCCTAATTCTTCAAATCATTTAATTTAATACTATGAAAATTTATCATTTGAAGCATGATAAATATTTGTCTATAATAGTTCATTATTACTAGAATTTTTTTTTATCATGTATTATAATATCATTATCAATACATATAAAATTCATCCAATATATTTTTTATCCTATTGATATCTCAAATAATTTTATAATACAAAATAAGCATTTTGCAAATTTAGTGTCATTTAATTTTTTATTTTAAGTTTGAAATATCAATTAAAGTCATCATTATATTTTAAAAGTAACGTACATATAACTGTCAATTCAATATGTATCTTTTGTTACCTTATCATATTAAATTGATTATTCTATAAAATTTTACATATACATGAGAATGTATTCTACAATTATAAATCAATCTACTTCACTTTTTTTTACACAAAAGAATATAACAAATTAAAATGAAATATCAAAATTTTAAAAATATTATATGTATGTATTGATTTATCAATCCGTGCACCACACTGACTAATATCTAGCTAATAATTAATAACAATAAATTTATTAACTATTGATAATGATTCTGGGCTCTAAAATAAAATTAAGACTTTAATTACGGCGACTAAATGAAAGAAGAAATCAATTCATTGATCACTTATTAAATATATCACAAACTCAAAATTAGTAAATAAAAGAATCTGATCAATCTATCGCTTGCAAGTTAGTACTATAATCAAAACAGGTTCTTTGGAATATCTATTCAACTTGGAGCAAAGACAAAAGAATAGGGTTTACGTATATTTTATTACAAAAAAACACTGTTAGTCATCAGGAAATGATTGAATACAAAATTTAGTTTCTAATTTGCATTAAATTGGATGATTCTACACCAACATCACAAATATAATCAAATACATTCTAATTTTACAAACAAAGATAGTTCATCGAAAGAAAACTAACTAATTGGACATCAACATTCAACATCAACAAACCACAAGTTTGATTTGACCAATTACAAATGATAACGAGGAAATTTGTAGAGTTTGGTTAAGCTGATTCAATGCAACTAATAGAGCAATTTGGAACCTTCACAACCGACAAATATCATGTGCCCACCACCTCAGCTACCAACTGCTTTTAATAAGGAAAAGAAAAATATATTCATCTCTTGTAAAAATTTCAAGATCAAAATTATCAATAAGATTAGTTCACGACCGCTTTAATCTATATGTAGATAATAATTTCAGCAGTCAAGCGTTAGAGTCGTGTTTATATGTGTATAGTGAGATATTAAATTGACATCATACTTTGTGGAAATAATTTAAGGCTTTACCTTTTCGATGATTTCTAGTCATCCAACCACTCATATTATCACTTCATCCTTTATCGAGATGGAAGGAATGTGGGCAATCTTAGACCAATATTTCCCTTTCTGATTTTGATACCTTTCTTCTAGTAAAGGACAGTTCCTTATAGTCAAAAATTCAAAAGAGGATGGCAAGTGATCTTCTGGCAAGGACTCTAGGCTTCCACAATAACCGATCTCAAGGTATCGAAGAGAAGTGAGATGTTGAAGCCCATTCCCTTCCCACGACTTCAATTCATCTAAACCCCATAGGGAGAGAGACTGGAGAGATGTGAGATGTTGAAGCCCTTTTCCTTCCATTCCCAAACACTTCAAACCATCAAGCCACTGAAGGTACAACCCTTGAAGAGAAGTGGGCAGTAACGGCTCCTTCAGCATGATGTTAACAACATCTGCCTCCCCACCACCCTCAATACGAAGATGAGACAGAGAAGTGAGTCGTGGGAATATGAAACCTAACTCATCTTTAGACATACATGATAACATTCCAACATTAACCGTCAGTGATTGTAAACTTGAAGGAAAAAACCTTGCACCAAATGATGCTACCACTGCAAGCTTAGAGAGACTTGAGTATTTAAGGGAAGGGAGATCAATCAGTTCTGGAAGTGACCTAAGTTTCTCACAATCACGGACCTTAAAATTTATTAATTTGGGAGCAGGCCCTCCACCTTGAGTAGTAATTGCTTCCAAGTTGGGACACGAGATGATGCTTAGACGTTCAAGAGCAGGGAAACAATCTAATGTAATGGACGTAAGAGAATGACAACTATGCCTAATTTCCAGAGATTCAAGTGATGTGTATTTGTGCCACGTTTCATGAGATAAAAATTCTAAGTTCTCACAATAATTAATCTCAAGTGATTTCAATGACGTGGGCAAACCATCATTTGGGAAGGAAATCAAAGAGGGGATCCTCTTAAGAGTCAACCATTGAAGACAATTGGCACCTAGTATCATTCTTGGCAAACACGACAAGCTATCCCATTTGAAAATATTTAGCTTCTCATACGAAAATTCGTCAAGAAGAGACAACAAGCCTTTTCCCCCTTCACTAATTCTTAAAGATTCAATTGATGTGTTCCAGTGTAGATCACATGATTTTGCCTCTAATTGGTTGCACTTTGAGATACTAACCTCTTTTAATGAAGGCAGATGGTTGGGCAAGTTTCCTCTCAACTTCGGACATTCGGATAAACTCAAATGCTTCAGCAAAGGAAAAGGAAATTCGCTATTTTCACCTTTAAATGGTAGCCACTCCTCCCATTCTAACATCTCTTCAAACTGGAGACTCTCCAACATTGGAAATGGCTGAAATAAAGAGGATCTTTCATTGTTGCTATAGAATTCTTCATCAACTGTCTTCACCATTTCCATCCTTTGAATCACAAGCTCCTTAAGTGAAGGTAATTGTCCAAATGGTGGAAGTGACAAGCAATAGTTGCAGTCACTGATACGAAGGACTATAACATTCGAATACGAAGACTCACTTAACCATTTCGGAAAGCTTGTGCCACTATAGTATCTGATGGTGAGTTTCTTTAGATTTGTTGATGGTTGTAGGTTCTCAAATACATCTTTCTCAATTTGTGAATCTTGTGGATCTTCTCCCCACTTCAGTGTAAGCTCCTCAATCTGCTTTTTTTTCTTCATGTTGGCTTGAAATGCATCCATGGGATTAACAACATTTTGTAGCTTCAAAATGGAAAGGTTACCTTGTAGAAAAAGAAATTTTCCTAATTCTTTGATCCTTAATCCGTCTTCCCTTCCTACAACAAAGGAAGTCAATGTACGAAGATCTTGTAGTTTGCATATTTGTTTTGGTATCTCATTCAAATTTGTGTCCCTAATATCTAGGTGGCGTAGATTGACCAAATTTGCTATCTGTCCTGAAAGCTGCATAAGAAATTTACAATTTGCTAATTTCAGAGTTTGCAAATTGTAAAGTGTAAAGGTTGCATCAGGTAGTCTTTTGATGGAAGTAGAGGAAAGGTCAAGATACCGCAAAAGCACCAAATTTCCAATTGAATCAGGCAACTCAGTGATATTTCTGTATGTTGACAATGACAGTGTTCGCAAACATCTTAGTTTAGGAAGCCAACCATGTGATACCCTTTTGGTTAAGTAATGATAATATACATATGGGGACTGTGGTAGAAAGGTGCGCACAAACTTTAGCTCATACAAGCCCTCAAATCTTTTAGAGACATCATATAATTTCATAGCGGCCCGTGCTGCAAGTAGAATGACCTGTATTGCAAGTAGAAAGGCCCGTGCTGCAAGCAGAACGGCCCGTGCTGCAAGCAGAACGGCCTGTACTGCTTGCAGAACGGGCCGTACTACAAGCAG